CTGTGACTTATCCAAGGCGTTTGACTGCGTTGAGCACCAGACGCTGATGTTAAAATTAAATCACTATGGAATCAAAGGCGCAGCCCAAAACTTGCTACTATCGTATCTCAGTTCCAGAGTTCAAACTGTAGAGGTAAATGGTGTTAAGTCATCTGGATCTTATGTGAAAATGGGCGTTCCCCAGGGATCGATTTTAGGTCCGTTTCTATTTTTATTGTACATAAACGATTTGCCATTTTTTGTGGAAAAATTGTGTGAGATCGTATTGTTTGCTGATGATACTTCTTTATTATTTAAGGTTGACCGATACAAGAATAACTTTGACGATGTAAATAATGCTCTCTCACAAGTATTGCACTGGTTTAATGTAAATAACTTAAAATTAAATGCAAATAAAACCAAATGCATTAAATTCACTTTACCTAATGTTAGAAGCGAAACCATTAGAATTAAACTAAACAATGAAAACCTAGATTTAGTTGAGTCAACGATATTCTTAGGTATAACCATAGACTCGAAATTGCAATGGTATCCTCATATTTCTCTGCTAGCTGGTAAACTTAGTTCAGCAGCCTATGCCATACGTAAAATAAGACAACTTACTGATGTAGCTACTGCTAGAACTGTATACTTTAGTTACTTTCATAGTATTGTATCCTATGGTATTATTCTCTGGGGATCAGCAGCCGATATTGAAACTATATTTATCTTGCAAAAAAGAGCTATAAGGGCTATTTATCAACTTAGTTCTAGAACATCTCTTAGAGAAAAATTTAAAGAAATCGGGATTTTGACTGTTGCTTCTCAATTCATTTATAATTGCATACTTTTTGTTCGAAGCAATATTAACTATTATCTAAAACACAGTGACATACATTCTTTTAATACAAGGAATAAAAATAAACTCAAGATACCAAATTACAGGTTACAGAAGGTTCATAAATCATTTATGGGTCAAGGTATACATTTCTATAATAAGATTCCTATTGATATCCTTGATTTGCCTCCTCATAAATTTAAAATACACATTAAGAATTGTTTACTTAAGAAAGGATATTATACTGTCAATCAATATTTGAATGATAAAACGGCCTGGTTGTAATTTTACTTGTAGATAATTTTTCAAAAGTTATATTAAAACTAAGGCTCCCAGTTATAGAAAGAGTTTTGAAGAGAACCTTGCACTTACTCCCTTTCATATACTTGTTCATTTTATTTTGAAAATTGTTTCTTGCTATTTTGGGACTTATCTTTGCAGTTATTGTTAGTAAATTCATTGATTGTTACATATTTGACATTATGTGATGGAAGTTGACCTCAACACATGTTTGCAAGTTTGATGTCAACTTTCAATTGGACGACACTGTATGAAATAAAACAGGGAGAAAAAAGCAGCCCTTGCTGAGTTTCTTGCCGGTTCTTCTCAGTACAAGGTCTCCCGCCGTAGTTTTGCGAACCGATGGCGTAGCTTTTCGACATTCACAAGTGCTTGTAACAGCCTAGACTGAATAAACGATATTGAATTTTGAAATTTTTTTTGAATTTTATTCGGGCGATTGAATTGACCACTGAGCTACAGAGAGAGACCTTTAACGAATTGAACTTTCGATTTTTTTCAATTTCTTCTAGTCTAGAGTTTTATGTTTTGTGTTCAGAGCATAATTGGCATTCAAACCGAAACGTACTTTTATTAACACTTTTTTCTTCTGATATTTTTATATTTCTTTAAAGGACATTTTAAAATTTTGTATGAGCGACTGCCCTAGCAATGTATAAATATTTTACTTAGTAATATATAATGCAGAATTGCTGAATATTTATAATTTCTTTGAAAAAAGGCTCAGGAACTTTTGATAAAGTCACAATCTTGAAAATTATGAGATCTCCTACGACGTCATTACCTTGCTACATTTGATAAAAGATGTTGCCAATTATTTACAGAGCCATCAAATTCGCATATTCTTAGAATATTTCTTCACATCTATCTGATTAACACTTCACAAAAAACATTTTTAAAAGTAAAAATGAATAAAAATAATTTGTTGTTGTCGGCCTGACATGAAATCTGTGAAGTTTTATTTTGTTCATTGGCAAAAATCAAAGCATTAATTATCATACAGCCTTGTCTTAAGCCTGATCAGAAAAATAAAACCTATTATTTTAGGCCTTCAGTGATTTATTATAATAAAAATAAGGGCCAAATATGTCATAGTTTTTGGAAGTTTTGAATTAATATTGTTTATTTCGATATACTGACAGAAATATTTTTTAGTATACATTTGTTGTTCATTTATTTGAGTAAAACGGAACATTTTCCTTTTGAAACAGACATGAAGTAAATTTTTTACTTTAAATATTTTAGTATTTCACGAAAGTTGTATGAGAATTTTAAATACGTAATAATTAAAAAAAAATATTATATAATTATGGGCTAGTGTAAAATAATTATACACGTTAAGGGCAGTTTCTTAGCCATGTCCTTTATCCTATCCCACAGATGTTAAGTGTGAGTGAAATGCATTTGCGAAAATAGCTGGTGCGGCAAAAACACGAGCCACTCCCAGACACTCTCACTTTGCCAACCCCTGATCCCAATTCTCTAACCCATAGAACCATAGACAATTACTCACCAACGGAAACACAACACTGCCAAAACTGTTAGGTGGATATTTCTTCCTCAAGCGGGTGCTCCAATTCAATGATACCCTCTTAAATTATGTTTAGCTGATGGATAAAATACCACACAAAGTTACCACAAGTAATATGCAAATCATTTGGCATTGATTTAATTACTTATTTACATCCGTAGACGGGAAAAACATACTTAGCTACAAAAAATCAATTCGTCAAACAATAAACTGACAACGTAACCAAAAGTAAGTTAAAATGTAGCTTAATTTGGTATGAGTGCTCTTGATACTTATATAAACTGCACGTTTCACGATTCTCTTAACGAAGTCAAGTGTTCTTAAGTACTTACTTGGAAAAAATAAGTTTAATTGCACGAACAGCCTTTGCTTCGCTACCCACGCAAGATGTTACAAAGTTGGCGTGCGTTAATGCAAATACCACAATATGTAGAATCTAGAAATCCGATCTCGTCTGGAATACGTGTTGACCTACATCTGACCAGCTCCTGGCAACACGCTTATTGTTTACTTCATTGCAACGATGCAAATAAAGTTTCGCTTCTGGTGGTTTACTGCTTGTATTATAAAGGGTTGAAACACCATGTCAAAATTCACACCATGGTAATTTTAATTCAATGATATTACTTCCTATATATATTCAGAAGCCTATGAAACACCCATTTCAGGCAAGATCGTCATCGGTAGAAATTTTGGAATTTTGGAAGTTTTCATTTGCTCCGCTCACTGTACCAAGGGTTCCCCAGGTAGTTGTAATTACAGAGTTCAATGGGGTAACCAGAGTTTATTGCAATTTAAAAATAATTCTGCAAAGTAATATGTTTGCAGAGTTTCGCGGGTAGAGAAAAAGCTTTTTGGCCATATCAGGATTGTGGCAAATGAAGTTGGTGTATGCTGCACCAACTATCTATATTCGCTACTAGTTTCCACTCAAATATATTATTATTTTGATAGGCCTTCTATAAAAAAGCAGAGTATATAAGTAGAAGCATATTTAAAAGTCCTGTTGACGCATGTATACGCATTTATGAAAAATATCTACCATAAAACTATTTAGGAATATACAAGTTACTTAACTGCGATGTGAATTCCCCTGTTTTAAGTGACTAATTAATTTCAGGCCTACCCTTGTTAGGGTGACTTGACAAAATTGAAGAGGCTTCGTCCTATCTACCACTGATCTATTTACCGTATCCTAATTATGTTTCAAAATGAAATTTTGGCTCAGTGCTAATTCTCGGTCAATAAGTAGGTATCTTATTTGTAGAAGCAAATTGTAATTAACAACATACCATTTCTAATAAAAATATCGTATAGTTGTATTTTGAGGTATTTAATCTGTTAATTGTTTAAATAATGCCTTACTGACGGATGAAATACTAATGCGCGAACATACATCACATTATCGGCGTTATTTAAGCTATCTGCATATTTATGACAGTCTTCAGAGAGTTCCGGAGTTTTACCAATCAAATAAATTAGAACAATTTAAGAACCGCACCAATGATTTGAGATCTGTTCGAGAATTAAGAAACTTTGCTCTGCTCAACTCTTCTCAAATATTCAATAATATGAAGTATTCTATTTATAAGTAAGTTAGTTTCCTTTTCCTTGCTATCTTTTCAAGATATCTCTTTTTTAGATGTAAAGAATAGTGTATTATTACATTTATAAAATACGATTTCTCCTTGTCGTTAAAATGTTCCAGTTTATTAACAATCCCAAGAAATTATAGATGGCTAGATTTATAGGATAGTCGACTAATATGACTTGAAGTGAAATTCGAGACCGAGATGCTTCTGGATGTAATAAAGATTACAAACATTTGTATACATTTATGTGAAGCAACTAAGATAAATTACGTAATCAAACCGCAAGTACGCATTTGGTATCAAGAGAGTGATCACGACATAATATCCGATAACCTGATGCGGAACATGGTGCTATCTTTAATTATAATTGTATGTTATGTAATAGACGATGGTGTATTCACCTAAAGAAAAAAATTAAACAATAGGCAAAAATCAAGTTGTACCAAACAGTAAAACATGTATTTTTTGTAAAAAAAAGGTTACAAGTAGGCAACTTAATGATGGTGTTGATATTATTGATTTTTGACCAGTATTAACAGTTATAATTTCTAACAGATACCGATCAGATAACAGTCAGAGCAAAATCGGTAATCCCTTTTCTTCTGACGTACTAACTCTATCTTCCTAACCTAAATCCTTCTAACTAGGCGCAATGTTTGGCCCATTGAAGACTTGAATAAGAATTGTCGTCGAAGTGCCCCACTTTGATTATAACAATATCCACGAGTCCAAAATTTTAACCGTACGTTGTCTTTTCCAGGTGACACATAAAACGTCCGGCAAAGTGATGGTGCTCAAGATGAATCAACAGCGGGCGAACCGACCTAACATGCTCCGGGAAGTGCAGCTCATGAACAAACTCAAACACCCCAACATCTTAGGGTAAGTCCTGCCCTTAGGATAGACTCTTTTTCACATGAGCGTCTAATTGGTTATCTCCGAGTGCTTAAACCTATGGAGATGGCTTAGTATTCTATATGAACAATCAGTTATACAAACATGATTGATATCGACATTGTACTCATGAACTTGTAGCCATCTCATTTTAACTAACCTACAATACTCCACGCGAAAAGAGAATTATATTTGCCTGAACTAATAAGGGCAACATTATAAAGTGACTTCATTTAAATGCCTATTTGCGGCCGGTCGCCATTTTGAGTTCCTATTATGATCAGGTACATAGCTTGTCAACGTCTGTTGTATTTACAGTGTTTTGTACCAAAAGTGTTGGTAATTTGTGACTTTATCAATTCAAATTCTTCCAGCCGTTTAGCAGGAGAGGTAATAAACACACAAACTTTTGCATTTACAACATGATATGTATTGTGTGATATCCTACCAATATTAGAAAAATCTCAATGTCAAAAATCACTTTTATAAAATATCAAAATATCGTCACAAAATTACTTGCGTTAATAAAGATATCGATATTCAATGGGGCAGCACTATGTAAAGGTGCCATTTTCGTTTCCTAGATAAACACTTTTTTTTCGTAGGTTTGCCATCTCAATAGGTTTCATTTATGAAGATGGAGACCAGGACCACATTCGACGGAAAAGGTGATGTAACCGATTTCTTTCGTCAATTTAATATCATCGCCGCCATCAATAATTTCAACGAGGATACAAAAAGAGTTGTGTTGTCGGCATATTTAAGTGGACCTGCATTGTTATTCTATAAAAAAATTAATGAGTCTTGTGAGAATTTTCAGATTTTAGAAAAGAAAATTTGTGAGGAATTTCCATCATCGATAAATGTGTTGGAAAAAATTTTCTCACGAAGACAAGGCTTGTCAGAAGAGCCATTGACCTTTTTTTATATATTGGATGAGCTGGCCACAAAAGCGGGAGCTGTCATCGATGACAAATGCTTCATTAGACAGTTCTTGAAAAATGCGAATTTAAATACAAAAAATCTTTTCGCATTTCAGTTATATAGTGATAAAACACATTTAAAAAATATTTTACGTCAAGCACAGGATATTTTCGGAGACGAGAGTGCCGAAATTTGTTGGAATTTGCCGATCCAACCATCGTTTGTTACACCAATGACAAACTTCGAAGCGGCGAAAATTTCGATGTAACGTCCTTGACGTTGCAGCCTCCTTGTTTAAGTAAACTCTTTGCTTTTGCAATGCCTACGGTTGGCAGTTATATTAAAAAGTTAATGTCATGATTTTAATTTGAAATAAGGAATCGTCTGTCTTTTGATAGAAGGTTCCATTGATTATTAGATCTTCAGGCGCCAAGAATTCCTCTCGTATTTAGATAAAATACTTTTATATTAGCCTGAATGATAAAACGAAATAAATAACTTATCTCTATCAGTATCTTTCAATTAACATCTACGCTCCCAGGTTCTATCCCTTCTGGGTAGAACTCTATTTCAGTACTCAGATGTTGTTACGCAATGTTTTATTTTCTTCAAGTGCAACTTTTATTTATTTGCGTATTAACTTGCGTATCTATAAATATTTAGGAAAAACTTCTCTTTTTTTAATTAAAGATTCCAGTTGGACTGTGCAATGTCATTAACGTTTACATCTCATATATTATACAATAGAAAGTATGAAACAAAGTTACTTTCCGCATCTGTTTGTATATCTGCAATCGTGTCCTAAACTACCAAAGGTATTTTAATGCGTTTTTCACGCCATAATACTGCAAAAACTACAGTTTAGAATTTAAAGAATTGTTGGGATATTATTTCACTGTAGCCAATCCGTAAACCTCCTACTCTCCAATTTCATCAGTTGCACACCTTGATGGCCAAGAGGTGATCATCTTATAGGTGTTACCTTCATGTGTTTTGTTTACTTTTAACATATTTGAATACTTTTTGCGAATGAAATAAAGCTCATGATATCTAAAACGCTGAACTTTGATGTTTTTTGTTATCACGATTTGTAAGTTTATTTTGTCCCCAATTGTTTTTCAAGATAATGAAATACCCATCTCTGTGAACAATAGTTATTTATGTTTTGGAATGACGTCAACGATCATACATGGCGTCTCGCCTTCAGGACACGCGGTTGACTGAACAATACATGGCTATTTTTGTAATAACACCATATGAAGTAGAAACAACGTATTGTTTTCTTTTATTTTGGTATTCTCTGAGCATTGTTACTGACAAATAAGGTAAGATTATATTCAATTCTTTAATTGTCATTAGTTTAGAATTATGGCCCTCGATGACCTTTAAGAAAATATACTCAGATGCTATTCACTACAGTTTCTTTGCAAGATGCGTATCTTTGATCGTGGTTCACATAATAATTTCACTAAATACTTTTGACTTCTAAAACCTTCGTCTATTGAAAGAGTGATAAAATTTTCATTACATTAAGGTCCACTTGCAGCAATTTTGGTAAATCTCAATTTAACTAAAATTACAGTTAGTCCATAGAAATATGTAAAATTGATACTGACGTTTTGACATGTTTAATTGAGATTTAAGGAAATTCTTGCAAGTGGACATTAGTAATTGTTTTTTAGACAGTACCGTTTATTTGAAAGGAAATCTTTTGATTCTTTCGCTTATTCCGCTTTAATCTTTACAAAATGAAGTGAAAAGATTCCAATCAGTTAAACAAAAGCCACTGAAAGTTTTTTCATTTACTTACAATGCTGCCTTTTCAAAGGCTTGACACCCATTCAAATCCGTCAATAAAATGAGGAAAACAAATAACAAAGGGTTTTTGGACCAGCACTCTTGATGCCTACAAATATTGTATTGCTACTATTTACATTACATTCGACCAATCTCTCTAAGTATTTCCACTCAGTACCACTTGATTTTGAACCCTACCAGTCCTGTTTTACAGTGTCGTATTATTAATTATTATCCATAGGCCGAGCAAAGTTCTGTATTGGTTCGCCAAAAACTCAACGTTCATGGCCAAATACGAAGTTGGTCGTGTTTTGTTTTCAATTTGTACTTCTGAAGCCGGTTCCAGGACCATATTGTTAGGCTTACGTCATCAGGACGAGAGGCAGTTGGAATGAGGGCAGAGCTTATCACCACTCTAAATTAAACTCATATTAGGATACGAAACTCTATCTTTAACAGATTATCATTATTAGATCAGGTTGTTAAATTGATTGTGTTGAATAGCGCCATTCATCTTCGATCTTTAAACCTCTATTGAAATCTCATCCTACTTTCCTCAGTGGCTACTCAGGCAAGTCATCTAAATGTTCTATGTTACGTGTTGTCTTTCACTGTAGTCAACGCAAAGAATATTTTTTAATTTTCAACAGAAGAAAAAAAAGGGAAGTCGTTATCAAGCCAACGCGTATATTTTTTTTATGTATTAATTTTTACAGAGCTTTGTACGCATTACTTTTTACAGAGGTCTGATTTTGAAAATTCTTTTTTTATTGGAAAGGTATACTCCGATGTTAGTCCTATATAAATTTAAAATAAAAATCGTTTTGTAGGGTTCATGTAAAGTGGGGGTGAATATTTTTTTCACCGTCTTCCCCATCATACGGCCTCCTCCCACACCATGCAAACCGGCTGATTTATATTTTCCAGTAGGTCCTATTCAAAAGACTGACGATTTGAATGCGACTGAGTGCCATGGCCAATACTTGTTTTTTTTTTTGCTGCCCTTGACGTTCGACCCTATAAAGGGTTCAGGTATGGTGGAAATACTTCACAAGGTGCCAGGTTCTTCTGCCGTGTTCGCGTAAATGCTAAAATTCCCACTCGGGCTTCTTAACGTTAACAAAATCTGATAATCAAAATTATATGTCACCCTCATTAGTCGGCATTGTGTTATATATCTAGGTCCCCTTTATCGCGGTCTCTTTGTGCTAGCGTTTGCGTTTCAATTCTCCAATCACGACACAATATTTTGTCATCCTGAAACAACATTTGCGTAATATAACATTATGAAATCAAAACGGTTTAACAATAGTCCGCTGTCCTGCATTTCGTTGCGTTTCCTGTTTGCTTCTCTTCTTATATAAAAAAATACAATGCATCCACTGTTGCGATTGTTTCACGATTCACATGCAAGTGGGACGAAAAACTAGTTCGCCTGCATTATTTCCTACGTCTTACCGAGCTGAAGCGACAGAAGAAAAATTCACAAGGACTTTTGCTTTACTATCATATTCTTTCATAACTTTTAGCAATGTAACTCTAAAGTTTTGTTTACCGGTTACACAATTGCAATGAATCACAGCTCCTTCATCTTTAGTGCTTATTTAATCAAGACCTACCAGCAGTTTTATTGTGTTGTCCAGATATGCTTTAGCACGCAATGTTTTAATTATCCGTTTGCATTCAGCGGCGATTGCTTCACTTTTTAGTCCTTGACAGTTGTCACATCGCGTGCTAATAGCAGTAAACATCTTTTAAATTATCTCCTCTTGTGCAATGTTTACCATTTTCAATTCAATATTTAGTTTACTCTTCATATTGCATGAAATGTTGTCGTTGGCCTCAATTACTTGAATGTAAAAGTGAAAAACTGCTATTAATATATTATTGTTCAATTTCAATGAAGAACACTAACGATTGGTTTAGTAACAATTGCTCTGTTAGGTCAAATTAACATTGTTACAAACTGATCGAAGCTTGCGTGGTGTGTTATAAATTATTTTTGTTATTACTTCACAAAGTCCGTCGTGCTGTTCTTCGTAAAGGCTACATTCGTCGGCCATAATTAATCATTTTCTTTCGGATATCTGATGGTGAATCAGTCGACTGGCTTGTCTAAATTTATCATACCACATAATTTTATGGGCACACCATTAACATTAAAATACATTACTTGCATTTTTTCTTCTTGTAAATGTAACAGCAATAACAAATTCTTAACGAACAATATTGAGAATTCAATGTAAATCAGATTTGACAGATTCATC